GTTGGATGGCATAGCTGCCCCATCCGCGGGAGTTGATGAGATGTTGGTGGTTGCCTACCAAACGCGCTGTACATGCGTGCAAAAATCCTGTGTCTGCTGTCCCCGTTGAGCGCAAGAAAATTCCCAATTGATCACCATATTATGACGTTCGAGTTTTTGGACGATGCCATCATTCCATCATTCTACGTCTATCTACACATAGAGGTTGTCGATCGTCCGACCATATCCGCGATAACATACACCCTTGATTATGAACACGACCTGAGCTTCCTGTCTGTGCATTGAGTTCCGAGCCTCACTTCGACTCGAACTCCGAAAGAATTTTCAGAATCGAGACACTTTAGCCGTTGTGGATTGCATCAAGCCTTATGCTTTGCGAGGGGCGGATGAGACGGGATTATCGCATGGCAGTATGGATTTTTTCGCGCAGTTTTCGTGACTCATCGCGACACACTGCGTCTCGATTGCAACGAAAGGGTGAAACGTTAACTAAATGTGCTGAGCACTGAAGCTGTATTTTCGAAGTGGCTTTTAGTTTGCGCGAACCTGCTTATCCACTCTTCCATCGGGAATCCCTGTAAACAGCTTTTGACGAAATGACGGATCTGAACAGGATAGTCGAGCTTCTAGAGGATCTGCACGGTCTCGAAGATGTTGAGCTCAGCTTGGCAGGAGCGAACCTCCATGATGACGAGATATCGTCCGTTCTTTGCCCGGCCATGAGAGACACGAAGAGGGGGCTCACAGGTGAGAGCGTAGCCCACTTTATCTCTGCGGAGAGCTGACTTCACGGCGTGATCGTCCTAGTCTCCGGGATTGCGACTACTGTTGGGACCTGTCGACCAATACTATGCCAATTTCATGACGCACCGATTCAGCCGTGTACCTCAGTCATCGCATGATACAGGCCATGTGGATTATTCCGGTTAAAGACTGGTGGTGTTGCTAGGTACTCTGGATTTGAGTGAAAACCCTGTCTTGACCGATGAGGCGATCATTCGCATTTGTGGAGCAATAGAGAAGAAGCGGGTATTCGCACGGCGTCTCATTCTGTCCCATTACACTACCATCACAGATGCTTTTCATTGACTCCATCATGCTGAACAACTGCAGCAAAATCCATGACAGATCCGCACGAGCTCTCGGGAAGGTTATTAGAAACACCTTGGCGAGTCAGCGAGCGGGCTTACGCTCCATCACAGCTTGATCCACTCTAGATTCATCGCGAGTCTTGTCTATCAGAGGAACAGCTGTACACGATGATGGGACCGCCGAACTGCTTGCAGCTTTGCGGGAAAAGCAGGTTTTATCAATGTATTTGCACGATCTCTATAAAGTGCTCCATCATTTCTTAGCTGTCTTTGCGCGAGCTCCATCTGGGCCGAATAGGAATACAAGGCTTGGGATATCTTCTGAGTTTCCTCGAGACCCACTGTAAGATCTGGTGATTTGGTAGAGAGCATGATTGCTGTCTCCTTTAAGTGGCCAAGGAACATCTGGAAGTGCTGACGATAGAGGCAATTCTCGCCACTGATAATGTTGGTCTTGAGGAGAAGTATCAACGGCAACCTGATGAGGTTAGTGGGACTGTATAAGCTCAGAACATCTAGGTTCAGTAGCTTCTCTGGATAATGGGAAATTCTTTGATCGCGGGAGGCGTCATGTTCGCGCCATTCTTGTAGGATCTTATCGAGTGCCGTTTTGGCTAAACAGTTTAGCATTCAATGGTGCATGAGTTCGGTGGCATGAGTTTCTGGTTGGCGACATAGAGGAGCTACTGTTAGCTTGACACGTAGCTCTAGTCGGGTATTATTCTCATCAGTGAAGACGAGTATCACTCGCACAGCAGCCAAAGCACTCGTGACTGTTGAGGTATTAACGGTATAGCATTGGGATCTAAGAATTGCATGCTGATATATGGAGCTAATCAGCGCACGCCCGCTTAGCGATAGAAGTTATCTCACAGGACTTCCGTGTGAGATTGGGTGGCGCGATAGAGGGATTGTTCTTCAGGACCCTAGGACCATCGATACTAGCGCCTTCGGCAAGCGAGAGAACAGCGAGAACGCGGAGGTGAGCTAGTCGGGATCAGAGAGTCCGTAGGTGCATCCTTCCTCAGGTGGATGATGATGATGATAACGAGGAGGGAGAGGAAGCTGATGAGAAGAGGAAAATGGAGGAGAGAAGGACGAAATGGGAACAGAGCATGTGCGTGCTGTCTTTTTCTGTCTCATTGTCGTGCAACAGGAGATTTTCCTCATGACTTTTTGACCTTCCTGGTTGCGAAACTTATGGACGACAAAATGGCGCGTATCGAAAATAATGAATTCTTTTTTGCCTGGCAGAGCAGTATTATTTTGTTCTCGTCTACATGAAAGAATACAAAAATTTCCACTTTATAGGAAACCTTGATCCCAGGGTTGCTGACGGGTACGTCTCTGCTCAGGCGCGAGAAATTGGATCATATTGACAGCATTGAAGTGGATGCGTTCGAGGACGATATAGAACTTCCCGAAAATTGCTCACGGAGTGGTAGTACTTCCCGCACTACAAGGCGACTAGAAGAGCTGTTGAGGTCCCTGCAAGATGCAGTAGAAGAGTGTACCAAGATCACTTGCATGGTCAGCCGAGCATTCACTCCGTTGCTCGCCGCAGTTTCTCCTGATAGGACATTAGATGTGACGAATTTCCATGGATTCACGATGCGACGAAGATATTAGCCGTCGAGCACAAGCTTCAGATCGACAGGATCGCTGCTTTCGGCAATGTGAGTATTAACAAGGATTTTTTGTCAAGTATGAGAAGCAAGAATCTTTCGAGTTGAGATACCGCAGCTGGGACTCTCTCGAGAGGGGCGTGATGAGATGGTGCTCTCTCAGGGTATGACAGAAGACAGCTCCGTGAACAGCAGTGATGCTAGTGAGCGATGGGCCATTCGTTATAGCCAATATGCATTTATTCGCGTTTTTAAATCAGGTGATGAAACCTTGAGTGACAGAGAATATATCAAACGGAATGTTGTACCCTCTCTGACGAGAGCAGTGCATCTTTGCGAGGAGCAGTTGCTGAGGAAAGCTCCGTAGGGATCACGTGGGAACATGGTATCGGTGATGCTAGGCTTGATGTCACCTAGTTTTCTTTCAACGCCTCCCATGTCTGTTTCCATGAGAACGAATTGTCGTGGTTTTATGGTCAGCGTTTGATTCTGTGTAGTGACAAACTAGGAGCAGTGGTTTGGAAAATATTTTCACTTTTTCTCAACTGAGCTCTGAAGTTTCCGCAATCATTATAGTATTTCATGTACCAATGAAGATAGTAATGTTCAAACTGCGAAATGGTCACCAACACGTGTAGATGAAAATGCGCATATTTTCCTACAACGATTGGGAGTTAGTTCATTGGCGAGTTGACATTCAGGGCCGTCGGATTTTGGTCGTCGGTACTGATAGTTTGAGAGCTGTTCGGTTCTCAGAGCTCCAGTGGATGCCCAGCAACAGCTAGCGTTCATCGCTGCCGTTCTGAAAGGCGCGATATGAGAGGACCATCGTTTGCATGTATCACGGATAATGAGAAGTGTCCTTAAAAGTCTTCGGTTGTGTTATAAGCGTCTGCACTAGCGGCTTATCATCTCTGGCAGAATGAAACTGGAGAACTTCATAACAGATAAGAGGTATTTTCTTTACGAAAAGAGTCATACTAGAGTCTATCTACATCTTGCTGCGGAGATCGAGTCCGTATGCCTCGTCAAGGTTGATCATTTCCGATCCAGTAGCCACATTGTATTTGGAAAAGTGTATAATTTTGTGGCGGGCGCAAGATCCTTGTGATTCTGAATGTGGTTCTCTATTGCTTCTTCAACAGGGTTGAATAAAGTTGCCCTATTGCTGGTGTTTTTCCCATGGCGCCAAATTCGTCTTCGGCAGTAGGCAGTGGAGCTCCTTCCACTGCTGTCTGCACGATGAGCAAGTTCCGGAGCAGGTCTGAGTGCCTTAGTCGGATACAAGAACTGAAGAAGATAGATGAGGTTATAGGCTTGGGCTTTCGCGATCCCACCTTACGTTAGAATCTTCGAATGCGTTACCGAACTTCGTCTCTCATTCAAACTATTTGAAGTGGTCGTGGTCTGTTGCCTATTGGGATCATGTTGCGGCATTCTCGCCAGTAGAGAATCAGCTGAAACCGATCGTTCGCTCGGTACGGCCCTGTCTACTCTACTTTGACGACCCAACCATGAGTAGCTCCTTAGTTGTATGACGAGCATTCTCAGATAAAGCCTTTGATGGTCGATCGGGGCCACTTGGACTCTCGGAAATGCATTCTGATGGCTGATGTACTCGCAGGGCAAATAGACTCGGCTGAAAGTCTGAATTCCGATCGAGGGTGCGCGGGTTTGTCGGACAGGCAATTGGAGAGCCTCTTTAGACTGAATATTAAGTAAGATTCGGAGCTTCTTTCGAGCTGCGCCTTAATTTTCGAGTAAAAACAGTTACCAAATGAACTATTCTTTTGTTTGAAAGCGCTCGAGACACATAACGACTGCCTCCGAATCTTCGTTCAACAGTGTAATCACCCAATGCTATCTGCATAGTAGCTGACTAGTCGTTCACGAGCTGTAGAATAGTTGGGCCAGCGCGATGATCGGTGACTTTCGTGTTACAGGAAAAGTTGAGAAGTCCTACTCGAGTAGGTACACGTCATTTGTCGCTAATGTTGCATTGAAGAAGCTACTCGAGTCTGTCGATGACAGCGTACAAGCTGCCAGGCTGCAGGCGAGGGCGAAGCGGAGCATGGATGATTTGGAAGGGATTAAACTGGAAATGCTGAGGAGGGCTGAAGGAGGAGGGAGAGAAGAAGTGAGGAAGTGGTGGTATGAATAAGATCGTAGCCTTATTGACTTTTCGTACCTTACATAGTAAATTTCAAGCTCGTATAAAAGGTGAAAATTTCATCATCTTGAGCATTGGTTTTATACTGAGATGGGCCTGATCTCTTATTTGGGGGACTAAATGGATATGCAATGGAGTCAGTTCATGATTCTGAAATTGTCCTTGTCTCCTCAGACATCGCTTGTGGGGCGTAGTGATAGCGAATCAGAAGGGATGGAAAAGGGAGAAAGTCAGAGTACGGGAGCGCGGTCGGGCGACGATTTTGAAAAACAGTTGGAAATGCGGCTATCTGCATTGAGGACTCCGCCGCCATCACCGATAGAATCCCCAAAGAATGTTCCATCGCAGAGGCCAGAAGGTCGTGCAAGATATCCCAGCTTGTCACTCCGGACTGAGGAGGAAGTAGGGGCACCAGCAGTTGAGAGCTCAGCGATAAAAAATCCGAAAATTGATACTGTGATGCGAGCAAAGCCGGCGCCGACGGTTTCGACGGTTGGCGAACGCCGCTTGAACGCGAACGTCCAGTACGATCGTTTTTTGATGAGAGATAGTGTTAAGTACGTCGCACCGAAGGATCTGGTGGACAAGTTCCTCACTGTTGCGGAGTAATAGGGTGGGAAATGCCGGGAGCAGTAAAAATATGCTGTGATTATAAGCCTATTAGTAATACCATTGGAGTTTCACCCGTGATATGAAAAACACTACTGAGAAACGTGATATTTCACGACTACCACCGAGTTTTACGCCACTTCATGTAAAGTAGATGAAACTCCATTGATTTCCCAAGGATTCAAATTGAATCATTCAATATATAGATTACGACAGTTATATCTAAATTATTGGAGTTTCACCCGTTTTACGTGAAGTGGTGTAATACTCTGTGAAAA